AAACCATTGCACAAAGTTGTGAGCTGCTTATTCACTGCTCCTTGCAGCCTGACACTTGGCAAGGAGCTTGGTGTTAGTTACTGTTATTTGCTTTCACAGCAGCTGCATACAAGACCATCCCTTTATTCTAGCAAGTAAAGTTTGTACTTACCTAAACCTAAGGAAGCTGCATACTGCTGGCTAAGCAAAGAGCTGGCAGCAAGCTGGCTGTAAGGTGGCATACCTCTAAACGGGCTGTAAGGCACATGTGGCTGAAAGGATGATGTAGAGGCAGAGCCCAGTGAAGACTGTAACAAGACAAAGTACATTTCCATTTACAGTGTCCAAGAGGCAACTTGCTTTGGCAGTGATTCTTTACTTCACATACAGCATTACTAAAGCTTAAGTAAATTCTGAGAAGGGTTAGTTTACCTCTTTATGATTTTCCTGCATTCTCAGCTAGCTCTGGCTTTTGTTGACTGAAGTCTTAATGCTGCTGCTACTTTAAACATTACAACAAAATTCAGGATACTTTAAATAATCTGAAGATTCCTGGAGACACTGATTGCCTTCATTTCTATAAGTTTTTACCAAAATGCAGTCCTTCAACACCAGTGTTTTATCTCAGCTTTTTATCAACACTTCAGGCTAACTTACTTGGACAATGGCAGGATCTTGTGGCAGAGTATGCTGAGCTTTTGGAGGTTCACAGACAGTGATGTCTTTGATGTCACTTCCTCGAAAAATAATGTACTCATAGATTTCTTCTCTGGGAGGAGCCGGTCTGTCTGTGGGCCGGTCCTCGGTCCCGAAGGATCGCACTGGAGCATGGAAACGGTGACATTAGTGCACACTGCCACTGCAGCACTGTGCGCGCTCAGATTCGTGCAATTAACAAGCACTCCTTCAACACTTGCCATTTGTAACAACAACAGCTACTTCCAGAACCCTCAATCTCCTTCTCACACACATCTGCTCCCTCAAATGCCAACTTTTTCAGCAGCCTGTGTAAACAGTTTTGTTTACATCAAGCTGTGAAGGTAAAGACCATAGACCAGCTGGAGTGAAGAATCCTACTGCAAACCCAAGGACTTCCCCACAGTGCTGTACTCTCCTTCCCTCCCCAGCAGCTGTCCCAGTCAGGCATTCAGCTCCAGGCAACTGCACCACACCCCGGGGAGGCCCCTGAAGCAGCAGGGGGAAATTGTAGAAGGCTTTAGAGCTCAAATCTGCACCCCTGGTTTCATACATTTATTATGCAGATAGAGGTGATTTTATCAATGATAAAAACTTCCTATTAAAACTCCCTCTCTACTCCAATGTCACTGTTTTTATTATTAATGTGACTACAAAGCAAGCCATCAGTGATAAATCTAACTGCTTAGGAGGCTTTACTGAGTGCCAGCTACCAGAATACTTGAACAGACACTAACCAGCAATGTCACACACCAGAGTGGAAAAAAATACTTCAGCTGACTGTGGCAACTACTAGGTAGAAGCATAAATTAATTTGAGCCATTAAGGAAGAAGAGGTCAGACTGGATTATTGGCACATCACAGTTACATCAGGCACTGACAGGTAAAAGCCTGAAATTTCAGACACAAGTTACAGAAACTCCCAAGTTCACTGGTGTGGCTGCTTTCTGTCTGTGAGAGGCACTCCCAGTTCAGATGAGTACCAGCACATATGGGCTTAATGCATGTTTTCTGCCAGTGGAAGAACTCTGTACTTGCCTCCCTCAGCTGCTCCTGACAGGTCATCACAGAAGCACTGAAACACCTCCACCAGGACATGCCACTCTTCCTGCCACACAGATGGGGGCACCACAGCCTCCCAGGAAAAAGAGCACCAAAAGTGGATGCACTGAGCACCCTGGCACACCATGCTGCTTCTAGCTCACAAGGAGTGCTGGCAGCTGTAGCCAGGGACACTCAAGAGTCCTGTTCCAGGGCGTATGCAGGTGGCTCACCTCACACCAGGCACCACTTAGTGCCACAAGTGGCCTTCAGCCCTGTTAACATACAGGTGAGCCCTCAAGGAGCAGGTGAATGCCAGAATGTCCCTATCACACTGCTCAGCACCTCATTTGCACCTAGCAGGAAGGGATCTTCACCGGTACAAGGACAAGCTGTCAGTCACTTCCTTTCAATGGCCATCTTCCATGAGTTCCCAGGGTAAATAACCTCTCCAAGTTATTTTAGATCTCCAGCTGCTGCTTGATCATATTACAGCTGTAACCCAGTCAACCAGAAGCAGATTATAAACTGAAAGCAATGCTTGTAGCCTTTTGGACATGAACTGTACCACTGATCCCTCTGTTCAAAATTAGATTATCACAGCTCATGGCAAGATGTACTAAAGGTATCCAGGGCTCCTGCAGGCTCCCCCAGCTAACTTGGGAAGCACCATGACCAGCCCATCAACTTCCCCATGGACAAACACACGACCTGCAAAGCCCAAAGCTGCCCAGGCAGCCTCTCAGCTGGCTGCTCCCAAGGTTTCTGACAAGAAAGGTGGAAAACCAAGTCCTTGTGGTAGACAAAACAGGGCTGTAGGAGTTGAGCTTGCCTATCCCTGCACCTCAGGTGTTTAATTGCTCCTGGCACTGCACAAAATGCAGTTTAAAGTTCCCGTGGAGGTGGGAAGGGCTGTCTCCCATGAAGTTACTGACTATTGCTTACAGATGAACAGGAAATCAATCCCACAACACTGCAGCTCCTGGTTTACAACACAGCTCCTACTCCTGTAGGGCTGTCGAGCCTAAGCTCTGAAGGGGTAGGAAGCACAGCAAGACTGACTGGAAAGCAGAGCTTACGTGGATATTTTTTGTTCAAAAACTACTATTTCTTAAGACTTTTACTTAAGGGGAAGTAAGTTCCTGACAGGACACCAGTAGGCTTAAGCTTTCTTTGTTTGCAATTTAAGTTTAGCCTCTAACAAACAGACAACTTTCTTGTGGTGATTAATTAAGCCCATGGAATCTCCAGCATTTAAGATTCTGTGCACATATTGAGGTTTAACAAATATAAATCAATTGAAAGCAGCCTGGCTTCAAGTGAGAGGCTGAACCAGATTTCCTGCAGTCTCTTTCAATTTAAATTTTTTTTAATGAATGATAGAACAAAAGAGAACGACACTTGCATTGCACACGGAAGTGTTTAAACAGTGGCATCCAGGGTTTAACAACAATTTACCTGGACAACTTCAACAGCACATCAGTAATTCATGGCCCTTCTAATGCCTCAGAGATCAAGTGTTTTAAACCACTGACACCACACTGGGGGTTGATACTGCTCTGACTAACTTCAACATTGTTGCTACATTTGTAATTCCCACACTAATTTTGCTTTGCTATAAAGTCTCTAAATTTGAAGACCCTCTCTGAGCTACAATGAAAATCAGGGTTTGTGATGTAAAGTTTAGAGAACAGCTCTTTAAGCGGGGAAAAATATATATTCCCCACCTGCTGCAACAACCACTTCTCAGGCACTCCAGTTTATCAAAACTGAACACTGAGAAACCAATAAATACAAGAACGGCCAGAAATTTTATCCAGAGCATATACTTACTCCCATCATAAAGCACTTTAACCACACATGCCTCTGAAACACACCAGCTCTGAAGTAGCAAGTGCAATGTGTAAGCAGGGCTATGTAAGGAACCATTTTTACTTGCTGCTGGGTCAAGGCAAAGACCTTCCTGCACCTACAGGAGAGGAACTGCATCCTTCCAGCAACCTCTCAAGTACTTTGAGCCAAGCACTAACACAAGCAGCTCCATTTGTGTGTTTTAAATAAACAGCTACATTCCTAGAGGAAAAGAGAATTTGAGAAAACTCGCATTTTTAACTTCAGAAGACACTCTAATGGGTGTCAAATAATGCCCAGCATCATATAAACATCATTATGCTGGGTAAACAGTGGGGCACAGGCTGCCTGGAGGGTAGTTGTGAACCTGGCAAGTCAGTGCCTCCTGCCAGCAAGGAGCCTTTCAAAACAAAAGGTGTTTGTTTTGTGGACAGCCCCGACAGCGTGAACTTCCCAGAAGCAGGAAGGACAAAACTCAGGGAAAGAAAACAGCGATATTAGCTGAAGTAGCCAAGATGGACTCGAAAAGCAGTACAGGAGTAAGTTCATGTTTGAGGGACTAAACAAGACAGGACAGGTTTTACTGACATGAAATACAGGAGTTCCCAGCACAGGTGACAAGTGAACCCAAAAGACACTGTTTCAAAGATAATGATCAGTGTTTCTACAGGGAAACAAAACCTAAAGCCTCGCTGAGGAGGCAGCAAGGTCGGCGAGCCAGACCCACGTGCAGGTGGCCCACAGCGCCCAGAGCAGGAGCTCCCACCCTCCTCACCTGAGCAGAGCCCAGTTATCGACCACGGAAGGAACAAAGACACAACAACAGCAACTGTTTTCCTCAGCGCCGGCCTGGGGCCCTCCTCGAGCCCAGCACCGACACGCAGCCGGGCACAGCCAGCGAGGGGAACCGAAGCACGCACAGCCATGCCGAGCGTCACCTCCCCGCGCCTGACAATGGCCAGGGGAGCCAGCGCTGCCGGCAGCGCTTCTGCCCGGGAGCTCCCGGGGAGAGCCGGGGGCTGCTCAGCATCCCGGGCCCTGCCCGCCCCTGCCAGTGCTGACTCACGGAGAGCGGCAGCGCTCCGGACCGGGGCTGCAGCCCCGCGGGGCGGGCGGGCCCCGGGCGCGCTCATTGTTCGCGGCACGGCGGCCCCCGCCGCGTCCCCTCAGCCAGCGCCGGCCTAGGCCCGCCCGCGCCCCCCGCAGGGCCCCGCCTCACCCTTGGCCAGCGCCACGGTGGAGTTCTCGGTGTCGATGGTGTAGAGGATGCCCTCATAGCGGATCTGCGCCTTGGAGATCAGGCTGATCTTGCTGCCGATGTAGGGGGTCCCCGAGCTCATGGCGGCGGCGCAGCCGGGGGCGGGCAGGGGGGTCCCGGAGCCGCGCGGAGCCGCCGCGCCGCCCACGCGCACTGCGGAGTGCGCCGCGGGGCGGGGCCGGGCCGGGCGGGGCGGGGCCGGAGCGCGCGCACTCGGCTTCCCGCGCTGCCGCGGCTGAGGGGGCGCGCGGGGCGGGGGCGCTGAGGGGAGGCTGTGAGGCACCGGGGCTGTGCCGCTGCCCCTCGCTTCGGTGTCACTGCGCCCCTCGCCGCTGTGGCACGGCTGCTGTCACGTAGCGCGCGGAGAAGGAGATGGTCGCCCTCCCGTCACGGCACAGCCATGGCTGCCTCTGCCCAAGCCCCTTCTCGCTCCGGTGCCGCGGTTGGCGCTGGGTGCCCGCCGGGCCCTGCTCTGTACTGGTCGTGCTGCGCCTTTGTTCTGCTGGCCCGGCTCGGTCCGGCTCGGGTCACGCCGTGCCAGGCTGCAGCTGGAGGATGGGGCCGCTCCGTGCGGCGTCTCCCGGGAGCTCCGCGGCTCCCCGGCCATCTGCGGGTCAGCGAGAGACAGCCGGCAGCATCTGGCAGGCGCGGCCGCGGAGCTGCAATCGCCCAGCAGCGGCAGGGTGCGCGGGCAGCAGGCTGGGCAGGCATTTCGGGCAGCGGGTCAGAGCGCGCAGATCTCGCCAATTTGTGTGACTCGAATAAGACGCAAAGCCAGCAGCCGGGGACAATGCAGCGGGAGCCATTGTGTGAGTGCAGGGAGTTCCGCCGGAGCTGCAGGCGCGGGGTTCCCTGCCTTCCTTCCACCAGCGGCACAGCAGCCCCCAGGTTCACCCCGCGTCCCTGCACGCCGTGGCTCGCAGAGCTGTTCTCCCTGTGCCCCGAGCTGTCTGCCCTGTGACCTTACGTGTTTTATGGTGCTACTCTTCATGTTGTTTTTACAGCCCGAAGAGCAGATCTCCCCTGCCTGAACAGGGCAGATGCTTCCTTTCCACTCGTACATGTGTGCTGTCTTCTCCTTGTTAAATTGTTCCAGCATAGAGTTCCTAAAAAAATATAAAGTAAGAAAACCCAAAACATATTAATTGGAAAAGCAGTAATTTTGAATGAGAAACTCAGCCCTTAAAGTCAACCTTTTTAGATTTTTAGCTCAGCCCTAAGTATAACTTACAGAGGGAAAGCAGAGATTCCTTTTTTATTGCAGTAAACAGTGCCCTTTAGTGGGCAAATTGATGGTTAGAAACTTCCCTAATGAAAAAGCACCTCTAGTTCCTCTGTATGAGGAGTGCCTAGTTTTGAGTGTAGAAAAGATCAAATGGAGAAATAATAGGGAAAGAAGTAATAGAAAAAGTGTGGCTGCTCAGTTTGGGGCAGCCACAAAAATATTTATAATGAAAAAATTATGCCAATAGTGCAGCCAAAGGTACAGAAACAGAACTCCCTCTTTTGGTTAACATCTTCCAACTCCACAGTATGTTTAAACTGATGTTTCTTATTTCAATTCTTAAAATTTTCTTTAGAAATAGTAAATGGGGCTCCAGGTTTTGCAGCTCAATTAATTTTTTTCTTTATGGAAAGCAAAAAGTCACTGGTTCATAAGCACCTGTAAGTTCCAGTACTTTGTTACTTATTCATCACAGGGTATTATGATCGTTTTATTACTTCACTTTTTTTGCCTTTTTTTCCCCCTTTTTAATACCAGTGAAGAAAAAGACAGTCACATGTACCAATACAGTGATGTGGATCCTTCAGGAAGGCTAATTAAAGCAGCGTGGAAAAAGAAAACTACACCAAGTTGGCATGACCTATACACTGGTAAGGACAGATATGCAAACATACAGAATTTTAGTTATAATCACCATGGCCCATAAATCAGCCTGCTTCTGGAAGATACTCTTATTGTAATGAATTTCCTCAATATCTTGTTTTTGACAACAGTCAGAGATAACAAGCCATCAGCAAGAAGAAATATGACACCTGACATTTTAAGTGGCCTGTTAGTATTATTTATTCTGCTAAAAAATACAGTTCCTCATCCACTAAGTGTTGAAAGGAGGAAGCAAAGAGCATCTCTCACTGTAAATTCATGACAAGTGTGCTATCCCAGGCATCCCTCATATGAGAAGGGAACATTTGGCTTCATACGAAGATGCTGACTGCAGTTCATTGTGGCTGTAGGAAGGAATTTGGCATGAAGGATTCACACAGCAGCCATTTGGATTGCAGGTACCTGTGGTCTTTGGAGAGTGGAGGTGGGGTACAGTCACACCATGAACTGCAAAGCTGATTTATTTACAGGAAAACCTGTGTTGCCAGAGCTCAGGAGACTCCATTGGCAGCTGGAAGGCAACTAGAGGCATTTGAGAGGGTAAGCACCCATGTATCTGTGCACATTCCACAGAAACCTGTGACTTTCTGCAGTGATGAGAACTTGTGGGGTGTGTGATGGTGAGAGAGAGCTTGTGTGGTGGATGGTGGCCACATCCATGGAATCGTGAGCTGAATGACTCAGGTGAGTTCTGGCAGAGTTAAGGACAGACCAGCAGTTGGCAGAACACCTTAACAAGCTCCAGCTGCTGGAGGAAGGGAGCCAGGCCCTGCCTGCTGAAGCAGCACCTCTTGCACCTGGGGACAATGGGATGCCTTTGCACTTGGTGGTAAAACTTAAAAAAAAAAAAAAGGAGGAAAGAAAATAAATAAGCGTGGAAAATGGAGGAACTGAAAATGGAACAGAGATCTGAATTTGGGTGTGGCAAACAATACAAATGGTACAAAGGAAGAGAGAAATTTCTCTGAAATTACTGCTCTTTCTGAAATTACTGCTCTAATCATCTCTTCCTAGAGGAAGAGATGTTAGAGCAGTAATTTCAAAATAAGATTATGGTAGCTGCAGGGTGGGAGGGGAAGGTCACCAAGTACAGGACACTGTTCTGTAGAGGTGTGGAGAGCAGAAAAGAGATCAGCAGTGAAGGAGGGACTGGAGAAACAGAAAAGATGAGAAGGAAAAAAATGATCCACTCTTGTAAAGGTTTTTATTCTACACAAAGAAAAGCTGATGAAGTAGAATAAAGAATAAAGCATGTAAATTCAACTGAAGGAAACGAAAATGATGGGTAGAGTGAGGGGTGGAGAATGGAATAAGGAGAACAAAAATTGGAAATATTAATAAGTAGAAAAAAATAAAAGAATTGGTAATCTATATTTAAATAATGTGGACTTTATGAATTAGTTTCTCAATTTCCCACAGTCTAATAAAAAGAGATACAATTATGTATGAAGAAAATAATGTTTGATTACATTAGTTTGCCTTACATCTCAGGGTCTCTTGAAAAAAAATCCACCAAAACAATAAGTGTTGTTTTCTTTTTTATTTCAGAAATAAATGCAGGGACTGTAACACCTGTACTGCTGTTCTGTCCTCTTTCCCCTTTTTTCTCAGTTTTGAGTCTGTGCCTCAGGGATTTTAATTTTGACATCTTTCATCCCACCCCCCCTATATCAAATTTCAAGTCAGTTTAACTTCTGGTTTTAAATGAAATATTTTATAAAATGTCATAGTTTTAGGCTTGTGGGGGTTTGGCTCTTTTAATTAGTACCTTGACTGTGTATTCAGTGGCATTGGCATAAATCTGCATTTTTCCATTGCACTTCTCAGCAATCCAAGAGCATTGCACAGTCAAGACAAAAATATATTTTACCAGTGAGGAGGAGATGGCAGAGAGATTAAACTTGTTATCCAGACCCACAGAGTGAGCATGAAAGCAAAACCACACTTTGGGCACTGTTTATTTGAATGCTCCAACTGTATGAAATACAAACAAGAGGAAAAATGCTCACGTGAGTTTGGCTGAAAACAAACTTATTTTGTGCAGATACTCAGTGTTTATAATGTATGGTGTCAGTGTCTGAGACAAGGAATTACCTATAAAGATTGAAAAAGCAGCATTTTATATTATTTTATTTATTTGTATTATTTACTAGAATTAACAGGCTCTTAATCAACACTTTAACCAGCTTTATTGTAAATACACTCATGTTAGAATGATACATTTTTATTTTCTTGTTCCATTCATGCATTCAATGCCACTTTTCATACTGTAACCAGTTATTCTTTTCCCTGAAAAATCAACCACTTTCTAATCAACCACACACTACAATGAAAGAAAAAAGATGAAGTAATACATGGAGAAAGGAAGCAAAAAATTTACTTACAGGGATGAAATGCTGCAGAGGATTAGTCTGCAGGGGAAGATTTGGTAGAGGTTTACATTTATGCATTAATTGGGAGAATAGAATCTGTGTATTGAGCTTCATGGGCAACTTTCTGAGAGGTTCAAGAGCTGCAGTGATAACCAATGATCTGAATCCACTTCTGGGCTGAAGAGAGCCCAAGCTACAGCCAGACTGTCACAACTGACCTACTTGGTACACTTGACAGTGTCTCAGAGGAAAGACCAAGGAGCAGATGGGAGAACAGCCTGATACATCACTCTGGGACCAGTCTTTTCTGAACAAAAGCAAATGTTTTTGAGAGTACAAAACGTCCTGCAGACCCCTGGATGTTGCAGACCAGAAAACATCACCATTCTCTGGACAGCAATCTACCTTCACCAGCTGGATTTGGCTAAAAGTCCAGAAATCTTGACAGCAATGTTTCTTTAAGGGCTCCTCCTTCCCTCTCTGGACTTTTCTCTCTCCAAATTATTGAGCACATTCCAGCTATCAGCTCTGAGCACTATTTCCTTGGCACTGAGGCTTCAGTGGGGTTGAACCAAGACCCAGCTGCACAGCTCTTGCTGTGCAAATCAAACCACAGGGCAATACTGCACATCACTGGGCTGAGAACGGAGAGGAGAGAGTCCTTTATGAGATGTTTTAGTTCAGAGACCTCATCTGCATTCATTCTTCTTCAGCCAAAGAATCTCCCCCTCCTTACCTGTTTTACAAATGGGTTATAGATTCAGCTTCTTTCTGTTCAGTGAGGTAAGGGATCATTTTACCAGCCTTGGCAGTGTGCTGTTCTTTCCCTGCACAACATCTGCTGCAGTTTTCATGGCTTGAATTGTTCCTGGACTTGTTTTAAAAGTCATGTTTCAGAAATGTCTTTGAGGAGATGAATTATTAGTCATTGTTTTATCTTCTAGGGTGTTCTTCATTTATCTTGGTTATTTTCCTTTTAAAAATAAGACTGAAGAGGCTTGGGAGTTTAAAGTTTATAGGTTTTAATTCAGGTTTAGGCTAAAGATACCAAGAATGGTACAGTAATTCATAGCAATAGGATTTTAGTGCAGTTTCAGGAAATAATTTATTTTTGTACGACAATAAACTGGGATTTAATCTCCTTCTAACTCACACTTCTCCTTACCATTGTAGTATTTGTGTACACACTTTTCACAAACACATGACAATTCTGATATTTACTGTTCCAAAGCCTTTGCATTATTTGTTCCTCATACCTCATTTCTCCATCACTTCATGTATGACAAGGTCTTTGATTATTTAGTGCACTATTAAACCACATTTTTAATGTTAACTAACTAAAAAAGAGATTTGGGTTTTCAATTTTTTCACTTAATTCTGATTAATATGTTTTAATTTTTTTTCCAGAACGCCTCACGTCCTCATCTTAGACTCGGTATTTTACTCAGCATTATCCTCAGCATTTACTCTGCCCATGACATCACCTGTGCCAAACTTCCAAAGGCTGTTTGGGACATACAGCAGCTAGTAGGACATTTTGAAGACAAAAGGTTTGTGCAAGTTTAACTTGGAGCATGAACTGGTCTGAAGAATAGTGACAGCAATTTTGTTATTCTTGTGTGGTACTGGAGGAGTACTGCAAGGTGCCCCATACAAACAAAGGCAGGTAACAGTAAGGAATAACTTAACATGCTTCCTTTGGCCCTGCATCCAGGTGTGTCATTTCCTTTGGGCTGGAAGTTTTGCCCATCTTGTCTTTTAAGAGATAAAATCTTTGTCTGACTTGCTTCAAAACATGCACTAGTTTCTTCAGGCAACTATGGGAACATGTCCCATATTTAACTGAGGTATTTGATTTGTTTGCAGTTTCCAAAATGGGCAAAAGCTTGTTGAAGGAATAAGGGCAATTCCAGAACTCTCTCTGACACTCAGAATATATTTTAGGTAGTATAAGAAAGTAACCTAGAGTCTGGAATCATATCCCTAACTATTTAGATTGCTGGAGAATCCAAAAAAAAAAACCAAAACAAACTTGTCTAATAGCCTTTCTAGCTGTGTTTTCATTAAGTCTGAGACAGCTCAATAAGGAAGCTATGGCTTGATTTATTTTAATCAGTTATTACAGAGGAGTCATTAAAAAACAAAACAAAACAAAAACTCGGCAAAATCTTCCTTGCATACTTTTTGCTTTCCAAATCCACAAAAAGTTTAGATAAAATCTCATTTCATTACAACCAAAACAAACCTCCTGTACTGGACTGCTTTCATTTTTTTTTTTTTCTGTAAATGATGATGTTTTTATACCTCTTCTGTCTACACTGATTTTCCAGTCAGTGTCTTTTGTGTTTGTTTTCTTTATAATCTCACTAAGGTTGCCCAGGAATTCTATTGTCTCCTAAGGCTTGGTAAGAGCATTGAAGACTCTGAACTAGAAATGGAGTAAGGAAAATGATTTAGCCATTTTTGTCATCTGAAAATGACTTTCAGAACTGCTTGCACACGTGATTATTCTTCCAGTTCAAATGTAAAAGAACCTGGATTTTGCCCTATGTATTGAACATATGCTGAAAGTTTTACCAACTTTACAGCCCATTACTTTAATTTGATATTATTGTTGAGCTAAAAAGTGTGCATTCAGGCACACACAAAATCTTCTTTTGAAATAACTCCTCTGTCTTAAAAGAGAAGAACCATGGGGCTACTGAATGATTTAGATAAAGTAAGTTACAGTCCCTAGGCATTGTGATATGAAATTCCATAGGACAAATGTTTTAATCTACAGCAACTGCTGTTTCACAACTGATGTGGCACTGGCTGTACCTGTTTGTGGCTCAAAAGGATGAAGATTCATCTTTGGTTCTTTCACTTATTTTTATTTATGTATTTTTGAAGGCCAGTGAGTGGAGGGAAGCATATAAAGAAGGAGGATAACACTGATTACCATAAGTGGTCAATTGTTAAATGTGTCCAGCTCTGAATCAAGAGAGGTCAGGAATCCATTACTGGAATATCCATGGTATCATGTACCATTAGGTTGTCTGAGGATATATTGTTGATAAAACATCCCTAGCAGGATTATACTTTGCTCACAAAGACTCACAGAAAAATTGAACAAAACCTGCCAAAGTCACCT